ACACACACACACATGCACACATACACGCGCGACACCTGAAGTTCAGCTGCGATGCAGCTGCACTGCCCGCTGCCACTGGCTTCCTGAAACATGCCCAAGACTCCGGCTTTCTGAAAGCCTACTTTGGGGACCACAACGGGACCCTAATTCAGAGAACCACCCATATGACTTCAGGACCCAACATACCTACACCTTCAGGGCTTTGGGCCCCAGAGCAAGCTTTTGTAGAGACTTTCGCGCCAGGAAAAACCAGCTATGGGTTGCGCATCGGGAGTCTCCGGGTGTGGGATTTCGGATCCTCGAGTTGCCAGCTTTCCTGGGAGTTTTTTCGGGAGATACGAGACGAGTTCCTGCTCCTTCCTAAGCCCTGCCCTTTCCGAAACAGCAAGCCGCTGTCTGAGTATAACGACATTTTTTTGTTTTTGTGCTAGGGGTCATAGGTGGATACCATTAATTCTCACTTATTCCGACACCTTTCAATACTGACTGGTAACTATAGCGGATCCCAGCTTTCGGGCGGGGCTATTGAAGCAGCCGCTGGGTGGGGGGCTCTGGGCTGACACGGTACAGAACGCCCGGTTTACGTGCAGCCAAACCTCCCGGGTAATGTAGACTACGGTTTATGGTTTAGGGTTTAGGGCTTCAGGGCAATGCTGGTAATGTAAATCCTTGATTTCCAAACTCCCGACCTTAAAAGGGATCATGATTGGCATTCCAAGGAGAAGCGGGGGTTTATTGACCAGGGTCGACATTAGCAGTTAGGGGTGCAAACTAGGGGTGCTGCCAAGCTGAAACTAAGGGTGTAGGGTTCAGGGCTTAGGGAAGAAGGCTTCAAGACCAGCTTCCTTTCTCCACTGCACTGATGGCCGCGCTGTAGGTGACCACCTGGCGCCAGCAGCAGCGATGTTACTGCAGGCTGCACTGTTTAGGGCTTCGGGCCCTTAAACTCGAAACCTCAAACCCTAAACCTTAGTTCAGCCGCTTGGTATGGGACTTTTGTTTCGAGCGTCTTCGGCTAGAGGCCACTTTATAGCCTCCCTTGGTCTGGGAAGGCCAAAGATGAGAGTTGTTTGGTCGCTTCGACTCTTCTGCCAAGTTTTTGCACCCGGCACACGAATCAAACCCCAACGCCGCGAACGTGGACATGGAACCCGAAGGCACTAAACCTGAATCCGAAGAACTCAAAAAAGCATAAGTCAAAAAAGCTGTCACTCCTGAGCCGCAAGCGGTTTAGGGTCTACGGTTTTTTAGGGTTTAGGGTGAAAAGCTCCCAAAACCCTAAACCCTAAACCCTAAACCCTAAACCGAACCCTGAATTCTAAGCCCCAGAGTCGGCAAAACTCGAAGCTCTGCACCAGACAAGCCCAGCACAATAAGGCCTAAACCCTAAACTTTAGGGTTTAGGGTTTAGGGTTTAGGGTTTAGGGTTGGCCCTAAACCCTAAACCCTAAAATCCAAAACCCTATAAACCCTAAAACCCTAAACAAAATGCAATACATCATTCGAGGAGCAGTCCCCTGCAAATCATTGGCTTCAAGATCTGCCAGGAGCCTCAGCATTGCTCTAGATCTTCGGGTTGAAGGTTGAGGGTTTCGGGTTTGGAGTTTAGGGTTTAGGGGTTAGGGGTTTAGGGTTTAGGTGTCTACGGGCTTAAGGTTTAGGGTTTCGGGTTTGGGGTTTGATGTTTATCACTGTGGTCATGATGTTTACGCTTCAAGATTTCAGTGCCGTCGACGAGCTTGTTTGAGATAACCGGGCTTTGAATACTAATGATTGCTGGGTCTGTAAGTGCGATGGCCGATGAGTGGCAAGGATTTGGATTAGGAATTTGCCAACAAAACAACAGTTTTCGACAGTCTAGTGAACTGTGTTGGCAAGCCTGACAAGCAGCAAATGCGAGTAGCAATTCTATGTAGCTCCTGATTCCGATCATCAGGAGTTGGTGAGAGTAAAACCAACAGCCGTCAAAAAGGCTGGTCTGAATGTGCAAATCCTAAGCCCAAAAACCCCAAAGCCCAGGCGCAGAAGCGCTCGTTGCCATTGATGGCCTTTCTCACAAGCACTGATGGTGGCGTTGAAGGATATGATCTCGGCGCCATGTGAGCCAGAACCCCTCCTTGCACCCTATAGTTCGCGAATATTGAAGGTTTAGGGTTTAGGGTTTAAGCACTAATCCTAACCCCCCAAAAAAGCGTATGTGGGCACTGTATAGTATAGGTATTTCGGGTTTAATTGCGGGTAGAGGGAGGATCTAGTTCAGCCAAACCTAGCCCTAGAACCCCAATCCGCCAACCCATCGTCGAAACCTCAAACCCTGAACCCCGAAATTAAATGCCCTAAGGGTCCATGTTATATACTTAGGCTTTTAAGTACTAATATAAGGACTACCTTAATGCCAACATATGTACTTTCTGGGTACGTGGACCCTTCGGGATCATCCATCCACATGATCCCGAAAATCCGCAACCCCAGTAAACATCTCTGCGATGAAGCCAAAGTTGCATCTGCCGTGAGACGGCTCGTCTGGATCTCTCGAAACATCTCCAGCGCCTCAGTGCCCTTAAGACTCCAAAATGCCCATGAAAAGCAGGGGCACGGTGTGTGTAGTCAGGGTTTAGGACTTGGACTATCCTAAACCCTAAACCCTAAACCCTAAACCCTAAACCCTAAACCCCAAACCCTGGGTCTTTACAGGTTCAGAACTTAAGGTCGGCATTTGGACTTCAATCTTTCAGCGGCGGCTCACAGGGTGCCAAAAAACGTTGCAGAGACGCCCCTCGGTACGGATTCCAAATTTTGGAGCCTCCCCGAAAGTAGAACCTTCACTAGTTACTGAAGCCTAAACCCTAGAGCACGAAACTGCAACCTGCGGCTTTTAACCCCAACTCCCGCGTCTTGTCGTGCCCAAGGCACCCACTCCCACTGCTCCCCACGTTCGCAGGCACTGATAGCCTTAGGCACTTGCCACGAAATCGTGGACGTTGGCCCTTGGGGGTCGCTTTCTTTTGCAGGGTATGGTGTAAAACAACTTCGCTATCAAATCACAGACTGTAGGAGGACTATCTTTCGCGACAATCCGGCTTTAAAGAAGAACCACCACCTACGGTAACTACAGGATCATCACCTGCTTCAGACTGCGCTTGAAGCAGAAAGGCCTTTGTGCCACGAGGCCAACTACTTAAAGGATCATGGGACTTAGTAACTCAGGTTATGATTAATGTAACTGTACTTGTAATTACTTATAGCCCCAATTAAGGTACTTATAACCCTACTTACAAAGTCCCATGATCCTCCAAGTATGCCTAGCTACAGGGAACCCTTCTGCAAAGCATGCCGAAGTCGATCGTAAACCTGAAAACTCGACGTTGAAAATATCCTGAAACCTACTAAGCGAAGGTTAAATTACCCTAAACCCGAAGTTAAACCCTAGCTAAACCTCAAAGATACCCTAAACCCTACTTCAACTTACCTCGAACCCTAAACTTACTCTAAACCCTAAACCCCTAAACCCTAAACCCTGAACCCCTAAACCCCTAAACCCTAAACCCTCAACCCCATCATCCGACGAGCCTGGAAGCCTCAAACATCCCCCAGGCTGGAGGACCGGAACCCAGAGCCTCCATGTACCCATTTAGCATATAGGTTTAGGGTTTAGGGTCTTCTATTAAGGCCCAAGTGTATACTAGATGGTTACAGGGAGCCTTAGAAAAAACAAGCCCCTTCCGAATCTTCTCGAAGCGGTTACCTAGGGTTTGGAGACCGGACGTTAGGGTTACGGGTTTAGCTATAGTATCCATTGTAGGTCCTTTTTTGGTTTAACCAGTTCTATATTATTAAGGAAGGATCCGAAAAGGTAGCTCCAAAAAGGAGCTACAATGGAGACTATAGGTAGGGCTCCTTGATTCAAGCTCAGCGTTCGGGGCTCCCGCCCTGTATTCCCCGAAAACCTTTAACCCCGAACTCCTACACCCCAAACCAGACGTGGGGAGGGCTTTGGGTTTATAGGGTTTAGGGTTTCGACACTCAATTAAGTGTCCCTTGTTTTTGTTTGAAGGGGGATCCATATAGGAGATGCTCAAATATTACGCGGGGGACGTGTTTGGGGCTTAGGGAAGTGGGATGTTTACGGCGATGAGGAGTATCGGGTAAAGGAATTGAGGTCTTGGCGTTTAGGGGTTTCCAGGGTTTTCGGGTTTCAGGGTGTCGGGGTGGTTTAGGCTTCGGGTGGCATCGGGAAAGTTGGGGTTGACGGGATAAGGGCTTGTGAAATGATTGCGTCCACTGTAGCCAAGCTGCAGCATTGTAGGAGATGATGCTGCGTTTGACATGCCTCTCCTGTGGAAAGCTGCAGAAGCTTTAGAGTTTAGGCTCGGCCTGGTGGGTTGTGGTTTGTGGGCTTTGCAAGGCGCATGGGGAGTATGGAAAGCTTCACGTTTATGTCTGCTGCTTCCCTACCATATCTAGAATAGAAGCCCCAACCCCTATACACCACCACGCGAGCAAGAAACTCAACGACTGAAACAAAAAAGCGACTAAAGCCTGCTGCTTCCCGAAACCGGCCGAAATCCGAAACCCCGAAACCTAAACCAATTCTGTAAACCCTAGGAAACGCAACTCGCTATGCCCGGTACGCGGCAAACCTTGAACCAGTAGCCTCTTATGGCAAGGTTTACAGGCTTTGTAATGCGCACTTGTACGGGCTTCACAAGGGTGTGATAGGGTAAGAATCGCCGATCCTGGCACGTGTGACATCCCCAACCATGAATTCTAAATCCGTCAACTAGGCGAAATAAGATGCAAAGAGAATGCCATGCAAACACGCAACCCACAATCAAGATACCGAAACGAGTCCACAAAAGGCAAACGAAAAGCGATTGATAATCCTAACGATCAGATCGAGGAAGACAACAACAAAAACGAAAACACACAAGATAAACACTGCAAGTCAAGCGGAATTAGGCCCATACATAATGCAAATGCAAACACAGCTACGTGATCGCTTTGTGTTTCGTCTACCGGCTTCTTTTCGCTTGGGTTTTCTCTGTGTGTGTGTGTTTCCCTAAGGGTCCATGTACCCAAACAGATATACTTTGGCCTTAAAGTAGTCCCTATATAAGTACTTTGGGGCCAATGTATATACTATTTGGGTACATGGACCCTCAGGGTTTGTTTATTTCAAGCTTCTTGCCTTGTCTTTCAAGAGGCGGGGCCACAGGCGGCACCCGGATCCGCTCTTCCAGTTGTCTGCGTTTTTTTGCTCATCGCTCTTTAAGCTATCCCTGCATGTTCCAGCAACAGGAGATCCTAAGGCTCAGCTTCTTAGAAAAGGGGGATTCGTAAAATCCGTAGAGGAACTTTCTTCGATGCCTTGAACTTCACGCGGTTTAGGGTTTAGGGTTTAGGGGCCTTGGACCTTGAAGATAAGGAGCCTAAAATTTACAATGTATTCTTGGCTGACTTCTGACCCCTCCTGAAAGTTGAACGTTTGGCCTAATATAGGGGCCTTAATAATTAGACTGGGGGTTTGGCGTATACTATACTATAACTACATTAAAATAAGGAACCCCCAAAATAGTATGGGTACTTATTTAGGCCCCTACAGTCTTCATGTTTGTTCAGATAGAAACCTGCAAGGTTAAAGCCCGGAGAGCCAACTCAGAAGAACTTCGAGCATTTACTTTTAATCGCAACTTCTCTCCCAGGGTACTACATCTCCTGAAAGTCCCACAAAAGTTCAGGGCCTGGGAGTTTAAACTTCGTGGGTTTAGAGTGGATTCCTTGGGGTTGAGGCGGCTCCTTATGTCCTTGGTCCGCCACACATCAACAATTTAATGACATTGGATGAAGGGCCCTGAGTTTTGGGTGGACTGTGGCTGAGATTATGTACTTTGACCCAGAAGAAGCTTCCTGTAGAATTGCCTTGCAACCGTATCATGGGTGTGGGTGCCTTGATTTCGAACGGGGATTAAAATCGCATAAACACAGAGACTATAGCCACGGCCTACCGCCGAAAGAGAGAGTTCAAAAAACTCACTTGACAAACGCGCAGGCGAACACCAATTGTTTAGGCGAACACCTAGTGTTTTTGTTTTCAGCAATTCTTACAGCAGGGGCACCGAGTGCAACTATGACTATGACAAATCTGGAGGACTAGCATCTTCGGGGATTCAGAGGCCCAGGCTCCCCAGGCCAAAGACACTCTGAACCCTAAACCCTAATAAACCCCAAAACCCCTAAACCCCTAAACCCTAAACCCCTAAACCCCCCAAGCCCTAAACCCTAAACCCCTAAACCCCCCAAGCCCTAAACCCTAAATCCCAGTCCTGCATGTCCCTGAGGAGCCCAAGAGCCCTCTGCCATTGGTCTCCTTTCTCACAGGCCTTGCTGTACTACTTTTGAATTAGGGTTGAGGGTTTGGGGGCAATCCCTTACTATCCAAAATCACAAATAAGGCACATGTCCTGGACCCTGAATACATGTATGCATGCTGCTTGCATATGGGTAGTTCTCTAAATTACATTTGGGTCTAGCTTATAATGGTTCCGTGCAATATTGGGGACCTGAAAAGACACTCGGCGAAAACACGCCACGGACGCATCTTCGGGCAGGCTATAGGAGGTTTGGAGGTTCAGATCTTGGGCAGTCAGAGGGCTGCACTGGGGTTTATTCAGGTTTTAGGGTGTAGTACGGGTATGGTCACGTGAGATCAAGCTTCAACAAGCCGTTTGTTGTTCTAAATACTAAATATATTAGTAAGGCTCTCGACCATGCGGAATGGCTCTTGCAAGAGTTGCCGTGGTCAAACGCGAGCTTCTGGGTGTTTTACAGGATTTCCAGGATCTTGCCGCCAGCTTCTTCCTTATTGCCCCAAGACGCGCAAAACCACACGGCCTTTTAGGGCTCAAGGTACAATGATTAGAATGGGGTCTTGATTCTAGTATGACTATACAGCAGGGGACAAATTATTATAACTCCACAGGAACTAGCTGCCGGTATGATTTTATGGGGACTGTACAGAAGGGGAAACTATTGCCTGTGATTTCGACTTCAACTCCAATATTCACAGAAAAAGCCGCCCTGAACCCAAGCACTCGTAGCCCTAGACATTGAAAAGGGCTCATCGCATCGTTCGGATGAACTACAACAACAGCCTCCAGCAGCCGCCCTTCAGCTGGTATACTATACGTGGAGGATTGAGGGCTTTTCTTTGACAGTTTCGGCCTATACACTTCTACTGGAAATCCCTTTAGAGTGGCCTTTGAGTCTGTTTCCGTCTACTAGAGCCCAAACCGTGCCGTTGCCGTCTGGCGGCGGTGATCGCCGCGTTCCACGTCACCACGCTGCTCTGCAAGCGTTGCTTGTGGATCCTCTCTAATGCGTCCAGCCTCGGCATGGAGGTCAAACTGCCTTGCCCTTACCCTCAAAGGACTAATTAAACCCTAAACCCGAAACTTTGGGCCCAAAGACTCTATTATATAAGGTTTTCGGGCTATTTTGATGCTAAAAGGTATAAGGGTTTAAGAACCCCTGGGTCGAAGCTTTTCAGGTAAGGTTTGCCGGGTCACAGGGCGCTCACAAAATAAGTGGGAGCCCTAAACACTACGGTTTAGGGTTTAGGGTTTAGGGTTTAGGGCCTAAACTATACACCCTAAACAGGTACAGAAGACCACAGGGTGGGCTATTAGGGTTTGGAGTCTAGGGTTTAGGGGTTAATGTAGGGGCCCTTAATAATTAGAATAGCGGTTCGGGGTAGATTATACTATAACTACAATAAGGAGCCCCCAAAATAGTATGGGTAATCATTTAGGCCCCTATTTTACAGAAGACCACACGGAAGCCAAACCTTGAGCCAAGTTGCAACCTAACTGTAATTTCAAGGCATCCAAGCTGCAAGCAGCAACCCTTTACCAGTGAAGCTTTAGGCTTCCTCGGTGTGGGCTTGGGTTTAAGATTACCTGAACCCTGAACAAAGATAGCGCATCCTGGCTGGGTCCCCGGCTACTTCGTGTGTGTGTGTCAGATCAGTATGCCGTACCTGTACAGTATGAATATGCTTGGCACGAAGGTAGTGGTCCTGCACAGTCAGTACTGTATTTGCGAGCATCCCTTAGTTGAGGAACACTTTCAATGTAGTAAAAATTGTGGCCAAGAAACCCTAAACCATATATACCCTAAACCCTAAACCCTCTTTGTTAAGGGATTTTGGAGGCTTCTGGTTCTTTGCAGCCACAGGTGCGCACTCTGCCACTTTCCAGCACTTCCCAAAGCGCTGAGGACGGCATTGTGCGTCACAATGGTTGTTCGGACTCCTTCGAAAACCCAAAGGCTCCAAGTACTAGTATAGTATATATCTTTGGGGCCCAAATACCTACTAAGTACCTACTATAATGGTACTTGGACCCTTCGAAAAGTCGGGGCTTGGGGGTGAGGGTCTTTGGGGGTTTCAGGACTGGTGGGGCTTCCGGCTCGTGTTGACTTACGGGCTTTGCAAACATCATGGTTTAGGGTTTAGCTTTCAGAGTTTAGGGTTTAAGGTTGAGGGTTCACAGTCTAGGGTTTAGGGTTCAGAGTTTAGGCTTTAAGGTTTAGGGTTCACAGTTTAGGGTTGAGGGTTCAGAGTTTAGGGTTTCGGGTTTGACAGTATTCAAGGAAGGCACTTTGACTAGTTAAACACTTGACTCATCTCACGTTACCCTACAGGCTTCCAAAGGACCTCGCAGATAAGTAGCTGGAACCCACAGGGCTTGCCGTAGAGATCGCTGGAAGTACAGGGTCAGTTGATGTGTGTACAGTAGTCTCCTTAATTTAAGCCCAAGGGCCCTAGTACCTAAATGGGGGATACTGTAAATAGTATTTCCTCATATAGAAACCCTACTTTCTGCTGTATGGGAGTTTCGGAAAATGAAGGGTACCTGATTTTGGGGTCCGTATAATAAGGATCCTACTATTTAGGGTACTATATTAGGATCCCCTATTTTCGGAGCTCTATGTGCAAGCCCAACTACTGTAATGGCCTAAAGAATTAGGGTTTTTGGGTAGATTATACTATA